ATGAAAATGCCAAAACAAACTTATTTTACAATTTTGCTCAGGGCCCATGCTATTAACAGTCAGCCGTGACAGACAAACGGGAGCTGTGGGTAGAAGTTCTCGTGTATATGCATATGCATAATTTGAGATGACAACAAGCTAATAATGCTTTGCCTAATTTATTAAGAATTTTTACTTGCTTTGTCTTCCCCCCCAGCATTGCTGACTGTGTAGAAAGATGTTTAGCCCTGGATAATTCTATAATGAGGTATTACATCACCAGACTATATAAATAGATACCATATAGCTATACACAAGTAAAAATAGATTGAGTAAATTTCCTTTTCTTAAAAAAAAAAAAAACAGCTTAAAAGAAACTGCTTACCTGATATACATTAGTGTGAAACCTATTTTTGGATACTTCCTGTACCAATTTCAACAGATTTCCAATTAAACTTCGCAGCAAACAATTTGCATTCATTTCTCTAGGAACCTCAGATACAGGGTAACGGGCAGGTGTGCTGTGCTGTAGGTAACGTTGGTGTCTTAAAGTCCACAAAGACAAGGAGGCAAGAATTTGAAGAGCAAATCGGACTCATGGAAACAATGGACAGACACCACAAGCTTGTGATAAAGACCTTCCTGTATTGACAAGTCCATTTGCTAAATGCCAAAGTCTCACAAACATTTTGAAATGCTTCCTGATATATCATGTACACTAACCTGCTTCTAAATCAAAATAATAAAAGCAAAATCCCTAATTTAAAATTAGAAAGGCAATTTAAGTAATGCATTTTAGGCTAACTCATCAGGATAGATAATAAGACTTTTTAGAAGGTCTCCATCTTCTTCAGTATCTGTTTCAGTGAGTGATTCTTTTCATACTTGCCATTTTTATACTGGAAGGGATTACAAATACAGGATCTAACAGTCTTACATTCTTTGATAAAATCTTTTTTTTTTTTTTGAGACAGAGTCTTGCTCTGTTACCCTGGCTAGAGTGCAGTGGTGTCATCATAGCTCACTGCAGCCTCCAACTTCCCCTGCCTCAGCCTCCCGAGTTGCTGGGAGTACAGGTGTGTAGGGGTCTCACCCTTGCATGGGCTGGTCTCGAACTCCTGACCTCAACTGATCCTCCTGCCTTGGCCTCCCAGAATGCTAGGATCACAGGTGTGAGCCACCACGCCGGGCCTTAAGTCTTTTCTTTACAGGAGCAATTCTCTGCTCCCAGATTCTTGCCATATGTGTTTGTGTCTGCCATGCCATGTCATTAGTTCTATTGCAACATCTGATTTCAACTCAATGTAAGTAATTTTCGCCAACAGCTGCTGTCATGGTCTTGTTCATCTTCGTGTTTCCATCTTCTTTACAAGTGATATATTCTGGTTACTCACATTGGCTTTAGTTTGTGGTGACTAATATGGTTAAGGAATCGTTCTATTTCAATAGTGTAACAACAGTATAATAGTATAACAAACGGATAGACCTTTGTAAGATCTCATCCCTCTGCCCGGCATAGGAAGGGCTTATCTAAAGAATGATTGAAAGGTGAGTGGAGCTAATGATCCAAGCAGGAGAGGTCAACACCTGTGCACTTCCAGCCCGCTCTTATGCCAAGGGAAATGGAAGAGAGAAGTGCTTGGTGGCCCTGGCTCCTAATCCTTGTTTCCTTCACTCC